TTCCATGGAGACATCACATTTCCTCCTTAAGAAACCCTGATTTTCTCCTCTGCAATTGCCCTCTAACTTTCCTACAGAGCTTCTCAACCTCATTTCTTTCCTCTCTAGAATCACCAAGACCTCCATTCACCGTCACATCTCACCTACAGAAATGCCAAACTTCACCAAAGTGGCATTCCCATTCCCAACTTTCAGCAATCCATTGACCACCACCTCAAAACCATTTACAACAATCTTACGAATAGTAATAGAGAACAAAAAAACGAAACAAACTATTTATGGGAAGAGGAGAAATGGTCAATGAAAACAAAACTGAAAATAGGATGAGCATTACAAATGCTATTATCTTTTCTTATTGCAAGGGGAGATCAAAAATAGAGATTGAAGGTAGATTTGAAGACAGAGAAGAAGGTGGAGGACCTAGTGTCTTACATTGTGCATCACTTGTTCTATTAGTGATTTCTCATGAGGTGGTTGAGACACAAAGTTTGCTACACTTGCAAACATAATAGGAATAGGCAGAGGAAGCATAGAAAATGAGACACTAATACCCTTTTTGAGTCCTAGAAAAGCCAAGAAAAAACACTTCCATGCATATCCTGGACTAAGATGTTGAACAAAATACGTGTAACCAAACACTCTTGGAGTCAAACGAAATAAGACCAAGTAGGAAATAAAATGAAGAATGAAGAGCAACCATCAAGAATAGACATGGGCATCCTATTGATTAGATAACAGACTGTAATGACAGCATCACTTCAACATTGCTTAGGAACACTCATACAAATAAGTAAGCATCTGATTGAATCAAACAAATAACGATGCTTCTGTTCAGCCACCCCATTTTGTTGAAGGGTGTATGAACAATAAGTATGATGAATAATACCACATGGATCCATCTCAACCTGCCTCCATCACTTTTTCTCCAAATCATCTGTTGTGTTAATTTTGATGAATTTCATCCATCCTTATCTCTTTCAGTCGACCATTTTCATCTTCTGGCCCATCCCCATTCTGTTTGCTTCCCTCCAGAGGCTTCATTCTACAAGTCTGTTAACTAATTTCTTCTTTGCATATTTGAACAACCTCATAAATTACAAGATCCCCAACCACCACACACCACTCTAAATTTGCTGAGGTATCTTCCCCTTCATTCCCTCCAAGTGTTTCCTTTCTACTGATATCAGCCTTGGGCATACTCTGCAGCTTGTCTAGTTGTCTTTGATAAGAATCCCCCCTCTGTCATCTTCAACTTCTGTTGAAAGAAAAGGGGAGACCATCTCCACTAACTTCTCAACCTCATTCGTTTTAATTGTTTGAAGCTTCTCCACCTTTTTTCCTATTTGTTTCTTCATCCTCCACTTTCTTTGACGTTATCTCTTAAAACGTCTTTATTTGCATCTGCCTCCAGTGCTATTGTTTTTAAACTTGTATCGTTGCTGCTACCTGAGAACACTTCAAACTATGTGATTTCTTCCTCTATTTCCTATCCAGCATCTTTGTTTACCTGAGACTCATCTGACTTAGAAAATCCTTCTCAGCAACCTCAAGATCTCAAGCCTTAATTTGGCCTTCGAATGGGGCTTGATCTTCATCTTGCTTTTGCTTTGAAGATTTTCTACATTGTTTCTACTCTTTCTTCATCATTGCATTGAACAAACTCTTTTCTCCCTTTGAATGCTTGAACTTTGTGATGATCGAAATCCACTCTTCAAGAATCTTCCTCTCTCACCTCTCCTCTCTTATTTTATGAGAACTAAATTTTTCTCCCTTGTATCTATCTCTTATTACGATTTTTACTCAGATTTCCAACTTTACCCCTGACCTTCCCCCAATTTTATTTTACTCATCTTTTTCCTTGCCCGCTTCTTAAGAAAGTGGTCCCCATTAAAACTCCTTCGTTGGGTTCAAATTTGTCCACTAGATCTGCCCAATCCCTTCTCCAGTTTTTTTTTTCTGATCAATAACAGAAACAAATTTATTAATGCAAAGAAAGAACTGATACTATAGGGAAAGAGGAGGGTAAACTCTCTTAACCCCAAAAATAAAATCAGATTACAACACAGTCCAGAAAAAAAATTATCCCTTCCCACCCCCTGTTTTGCAAGTACATCAGCAAAAGAATTAGCACTCCTTTTCACCCAGTGTAGCCTTAACTCCATATCTTAGGTAAGCCACTTAAACTTCTTCTCATTGGCAAATTTCCACAATCCAATCTCCTCTTTTTGTAGCCAACTAATGACCAGCTTTGAGTCACCTTCAACAATCAGCTTTCTGATATCCAATTCTTTTGCTCTTTTTACCCCTTCCATCACTGCCATTACTTCAGCTCTGAGAAAGTCACCCACTCCAACAGAAACTAGAGTGGGAAAGAACCAAGAACTTGGAGACATACTCATTTAAACCTTGACAGAGAAAACAAGGGAATTGTTCTTTCAAAGAAGAGTCCTCAACCAAGGGCCTTCCCATGATTTGATTTTATTACCAAAGACAAGGTCGTACTTGTAGTTTGGAAGTGATCTTTCAAAGAAGAGTCCTCCACCCAGACATGTTCCCAAAATTTCACCAGATTATCAGAGCACAAGCCATATCTGATAAAAGGAAAGAGCGAAGGTAGAACAGCATGAATAGACTTCCAAGGAGAAGCTCTTGTGGCCCTAGCCAATACCCCCATGTCCCAGCCATCAGCCGCTTGCCCATGAATGCATAGAATTACCTTGGCCCACAGCTTGTCCTTATCCATTGGCAATCCCCATAGCCATTTTCCCAATAAAGCCTCATTTCTTTTTTGGATGTTTCCTATACCTAGACCCCCATCCTTCTTTACTTCTAATAACCACCTCCCAAGTGACTCTATGATCCCTTTTCTCTTCCCCTGGTTCCCAAAGAAAATCCCTCATTAACTTTTCCAGTTCAATTTGGAAGAAACCATTCGACCCAATATAGATGTCCTTTGGTTAAAAGAGGTGCACCTCGAACTTGACCCTCCTCCGAAACCAATAATTAGTGTCAATAGGCGAACCTGAGAATCCTTTAGCTTCTCTCCCATTTTGATTACCATCTGCTTGGCATCAAAAGGCAAACCTGAATAATCCAATGAAGCTTCTCCACGTGTTCCAGCCTCTACCACATCAGCATCATCTTCTCTTTGCCCAACTGTCTCACCATTGGGGATTAGCTTCGATTCCAATCTCCTTTTCCACAGTCTACCTCACCAGGTGAGAACATGAGGTCTGTTTACCAGTTGTTAAATATGAAAATTAGCTAATTGACTGTCTTACTACCTCACTAAAGGAGTTGCTAAGATAAAGCTTGAAGATAATCTTTGCAAGCCAGTATCTATCAAAAAAAAAATATTTTTTGCAAGCCAGGCATGTATGCCATTTATGCTCAGCTTGAGGGGGAGTGTTAACAATGAAAGGGGTCTTTTGGTCTTGTACTCATACCACTTAATAGGCACCTAATTAAGGACATCATTGTAATTTTGTCACTTAATATGAAATTTTATAATTATGCTCAGCTTGAGGGGAGGGGGGGAGTGTTAACAATGAAAGGGGTCTTTTGGTCTTGTACTCATACCACTTAATAGGCACCTAATTAAGGACATCATTGTAATTTTGTCACTTAATATAAAATTTTATAATTATGCTCAGCTTGAGGGGGAGTGTTAACAATGAACGGGGTCTTTTGGTCTTGTACTCATACCACTTAATAGGCAGCTAATTAAGGACATCATTGCAATTTTGTCATTTAATATAAAATTTTATAATTAAGTAATAAATTTGTTTGTTCAAAAGAAAATATCATTTAATAGAAAAGCTAATGATAGAGGGGTATGAGAACCAAGAATGTTTCCCAACACCCATTCTCCATATTGCTGTTGTTGTTGCTCTTCTCCCCCCCCCCTCCTCTCTCTCTCCTCTTTTACTAGTAATATTTGAAGAGCCAAATACCACAAAACACCATTCTGATAGGGAATTAAATTGTCTCCAATACAATGTAAATTCTTCAGTCAGTGTTCCTAGGACTCTCCTAAATGGATGGCATGTCCATGTCAAAAATGTGTTGGAGGCCAACAACATTTCCCATCTCCTAGCTCAGTTGACATAAAAGAACAGCTAATGTACAAGATGAATGCCATTTTTCATAATAAAATGTTACTTAGTAACAAAAACAACACCTTTTGCAAGTATATAATTTTTTTTTATTTTTTGATCAATAACAGTCAGATTTTATTAGTAATTAAAAATTATATAGATGTACATACTGTATAGGAGATAAAATCACCCTTTCTCATTTACAACAATGTCCAGAACATTTGATCTCTTCCCACCCCTTGTTTAGCGAACAACTCAGCCATGCTAGTTGCTTCCATTTGCACTCATTGGAATCTCACTCCATACCATTAATTAGCCACTTAAGCCTTTTTAGCCTTTTCTAATTTATCTTTCACTGCCCAAAAATATGAACTACTTTAATGGCATATACTTTTTCTATAGGTGTATCTGTGAGACCATAATTTTTTATATTGCTGAGTCAGACACTTGGAAATGCTCTGATTCCGACTCCTGTGCCATGTCCATGCAACACTGCCTCCGGTACAACAGGATAGGACTGGTGACAACAGTCAAACATAGAAAATAATGTTTTACTGGATTTCAATCATTTATGTCACTATGCAGAAATTCCACTAAAGCACAAAAACAGACATCACATGATTGTACAAACTAACTCACATAGGCATACCCACTCCAAAACTCTTATACACCAACATATCACACAAATACACAATGTGACAAAGATAAAGATAAAGAAAGGTCCTTCTTTCATGGGGGTATTGGTGTTTAAACACCAATACCCCCATGGCCCATCCTTAAATTTAACACCAAGAAATTCCCCAGATATCCAAGATAAACTATTAATGCACACCCTTTTATAAAGATCACAGGTAGGAGAAAACAATAATGCCAGGGAACCCAGGAAAAATAATTATAGCAAACCTGGAGAAATTCATGATGCTTCCGTAGTAGAAGTTGTGGACTTGAAGCAATAACCTTACCCAACCTCTTGTTTTTGACACCAATCTCCCCAAATTGTTCAACCATTGATCTTATCTTGCTAATTGAACATCCCAATATATGAGGCCAACTTTTGATTGCATGACTGACATTTGTTCTTGGAACCTGACATTAAAAGTTAATTCCATTTTAATAACAAAAGTGAACTAATAATCTTCTATGGCACATGAATACAGCCAGAGGGGAAAAAAAGAACCAAAGTGATGCAGTATAAGGCCTTCTATGCAAATAAGGGAATGAACCATTATGGAAGATTTAAATGAAAAGAGAGGTCCGCATGAATTCTTCATCAAAGTCCAAGTGATTCCAAGCCCATAATTCCAGGCCCAGAACCATATACAAAGGACCTGTGATCCATTTTCTCTTTTAGGACAGCTTGTATTTCTAGTTCCCAGCTTGATTATAAATTAATCCGTAATAGTTTCAGCTGTTAGGCTATTAGGCTATTACAATTACCACATGGTTAGCTAGGGGCAATCAATCCATAATGATAGGAATCTAGAAATGTATTAGGATCACTATCAACAAAAAATAAAGAAAGAAAAATTAAGAACATAGAATGTGAATTTTGTTCCTTTCTCTCAATAGATGTATCCAGTCATATGAACTTCACCAAAAGACATGATGATGGAATGCAATGGGGTGCATGGTAGAGGACCCTGCACCCAAACAATACTGATTCATAGTCCCCCTTGTGGCTTGTACTGTTTGGAGGCTAAGACCCACCCCAGTCATATGAAAAATTAAGAACATAGAATGTGAATTTTGTTCCTTTCTCTCTGTTAGAATGCTCGAGTCAGTGGTATTTTGGTCATTCTGTTGTATCTTCTTGAAAGTGAAAGGTCTATTGTATCTGAGTTTAAGTTATGTGTCCCATCTTCTATGAGGGACAAAATTGTCTTTCTTGTAACTCAAGTTTTATGAATAAAAGTCAAGTGGGTCGGCTAGGAGAGTGACTGAGAACATTCTCTCTTCTAGT